ACCGGTGTACTTGGACTGCTTGTGGTCGACTTGACTCCATACGTAGTGCCAAGTTCAAAGATTGCCCTGTAGTTCAACTATAGTGGAATGACCTTCCGTCGTGGCATAGGATGTGCTTGTGGCAACTTGTGATGTAGACGTTGCGGAAGACGATGTGCTAGCACTTTCTGTTGTACTTGGACTGCTTGTGGTCGACTTGACTCCATACGTAGTGCCAGTCGAAGATTGTCCTGTAGTTTCAACTATAGTGGAATGACCTTCCGTCGTGGCATAGGTTGTGCTTGTGGCAGCTTGTGATGTAGACGTTGCGGAAGACGATGTGCTAGCACTTTCTGGTGTACTTGGACTGCTTGTGGTCGACTTGACTCCATACGTAGTGCCAGTCGAAGATTGTCCTGTAGTTTCAACTATAGTGGAATGACCTTCCGTCGTGGCATAGGTTGTGCTTGTGGCACCTTGTGATGTAGACGTTGCGGAAGACGATGTGCTAGCACTTTCTGTTGTTGTACCAGCCACTGTGGTGGTGGTCTCTGCCAGCGTTGACGTCAAAGTGCTTTGCTCTGTTGTTACAGGCAAAGTGGGAACTCTGCTTCTTTGCGCAGTCGTACTTAGCTCTACTGGTGTAGATTCCGGATGTGTTGACGTTGCCGAAAGTGTTGTCGATTGGACTGTACTTCTTGGGCTGCTGCTTGTCGAGCTTATCCCAACAGTTGTGAAAGATGTAGAATGAGCTGTAGACAGCCCACTAGTTGAATGTCCTTCAGATGAGCTGACAATTGGGCTTGTAGCACTTGTCGAGCTGACCCCAACACTTGTCGAAGTCAAGAGGGAGGACGATTCCGGTGTGCTTGTCTGTTCTGCTGTTGTATTAATCACGTGTGGTCTCCTCAAGAGTTGATGTTACAGTGCTTCGATCTGTTGTTGCGGGCACTGTACGAAATGTGGTTCTTTGCAAGGTGCTACCTTGACCTGTCGTTGTAGACTCTGAAGCTGTACTCGATATTACTGGTGTACTTGGACTGCTTGTGGTCGACTTGACTCCATCCGTAGTGCCAGTCGAAGATTGCCCGGTAGTTTCAACTATAGTGGAATGACCTTCCGTCGTGGCATAGGTTGTGCTTGTGGCACCTTCTGTTGTAGACGTAGCGGAAGACGATGTGCTAGCACTTTCTGTTGTTGTACCAGCCACTGTGGTGGTGGTCTCTGCCAGCGTTGACATCAAAGTGCTTTGCTCTGTTGTTACAGGCAAAGTGGGAACTCTGCTTCTTTGCGCAGTCGTACTTAGCTCTACTGGTGTAGATTCCGGATGTGTTGACGTTGCCGAAAGTGTTGTCGATTGGACTGTTCTTCTTGGGCTGCTGCTTGTCGAGCTTATCCCAACAGTTGTGAAAGATGTAGAATGAGCTGTAGACAGCCCACTAGTTGAATGCCCTTCAGATGTGCTGACAATTGGGCTTGTAGCAATTGTCGAGCTGACCCCAACACTTGTCGAAGTCAAGAGGGAGGACGATTCCGGTGTGCTTGTCTGTTCTGCAGTTGTACTAATCACTGTGGTGTCCTCAAGAGTTGATGTTACAGTGCTTCGATCTGTTGTTGCCGGCACTGTACGAAATGTGGTTCTTTGCAAGGTGCTACCTTGATCTGTCGTTGTAGACTCTGAAGCTGTACTCGATATTACCGGTGTACTTGGACTGCTTGTGGTCGACTTGACTCCATACGTAGTGCCAGTCAAAGATTGCCCTGTAGTTTCAACTATAGTGGAATGACCTTCCGTCGTGGCATAGGTTGTGCTTGTGGCAACTTGTGATGTAGACGTTGCGGAAGACGATGTGCTAGCACTTTCTGGTGTACTTGGACTGCTTGTGGTCGACTTGACTCCATACGTAGTGCCAGTCAAAGATTGTCCGGTAGTTTCAACTACAGTGGAATGACCTTCCGTCGTGGCAACGATTGTGCTTGTGGCACCTTGTGCTGTAGACGCGGCGGAAGACGATGTGCTAGCACTTTCTGTCGTTGTACTAGCCATTGTGGTGGTGGTCTCTGCCAGCGTTGACGCCATAGTGCTTTGCTCTGGTGTTACAGGCAAAGTTGGAACTCTACTTCTTTGCGCAGTCGTATTTTGCTCTGTCGACGTAGATTTTGAAAGCGTTGTTGATTGGACTGTACTTATTGAGCTGCTGTCTTTTGATATGGCAGCATTTGTGGTTGGGGCACTCTCTGTCGAAGAGGTGGCTGAAATTGATGAAAACGTTAAAACACGGCGGTCTGTCACTACGGCATTCCTTCCCATTGCTATGCGCGTTCGAAAAGGTATCTGGTTACAAGACGCTATTTTGGCCTGTTTTGGACTACCCGTAAAATATTTGAAAATAAGCAAATAATATTTAGTGGTAAATTTCGTCAAATTAAAATGAAATTATGGTCTTAACATCCTTTAAATGTTAGATTTTTATGTTAAATCACTGATTTTTTTTAAATTTCGCTCAGAAAGACGATTATTTTCGGGTTTCCGAGCACAAGTCATGTCACGTTTTTAGGCAAACATCGTTCAAACCTGGCTACGTATATTACCCCAGATCCTCGATTTTTATATTTTTCGCAGACTAGGAATAAGATCAAAAATCATGTTTTAGGGATTTTTGATTTTAAGTCTAGTTTTTGTCGACATATTGGTGAAAAAATGACATTTTTTGACATTTTTCTCACTAAATTACCCATAATTCAAAATTGAGGTCATTTTTCAAAAATCCCTAAAACACGATTTTCGGGACAACCGTTACAGTCATTTTGAGCCATAAATGGGGTATGTTTTACTCTCCATGTTTCCAGGTTTGAACGAGTTTTGCATACATGTCATATCGCCAGAAAGTGTGCATTGTGTTATTCATACAGGCGTAAAGAATCATTACAGTATTCAAGGTCACCCAAGGATACGACAGTAGCTTCGCTATATGTTACTTACCCACCAACAATTATAGCGGACATGTACTGTCCAGGAAACTGTTTGTATCGATAGAAAAGTGTTGTTTTTTATCTATTGCGAGGCACTCAGGCAGAAGGGCTTGTTTTGCCGCTTTATTGTAAATGACCGCAGGTGACCCCGAAATGGAACGCGGGTTCGATTCGAATTGCCCAGATCGAACACGATCGAACACAGTTCGGATTCTATGAAATGTGGGAACTTTGCAGCCCAGATTTTACCACCGTGAAAATGGCCATAGTTTGTTTACTAGGCAGCTTGTAGCTTTGATGCTAAATACAATGTTGACAAACCTGACCACGTTGTATGGTAATTTGTGTCTTTGTTCGTAGGGTTATGTAAATTTGTTGATCACGCTTTAATTGGTAATGATATTGTGGTTGTTCAATGGAGTATCTTTTGCATAATTGGAGCTTTACACAAAGTCAACAAAGATCTTACCTTCGCAGGGGCTTGGTACAACTGTATCATTCATTCTGTAAAGGGATTGATAGGGTATGAGCATTACACTGCGAATACAATTAATAAACGATGTATTGTTTACTGACGAAAATGAACATTGATGAAAATGAACATGCCTTACCTGCATTTCCTATCAGAGCCGACCAAGACGCAAGATGACCCGTTGGAACAGTAATCATTGGAGCAAATCTCTGTATGGGACAAAATATCAACAGTTTTAGGTTTTAGCTTGCTGTTTATGGGCATATAAATGTACCTGTTTGCGATCTGGATTGCTATTTTACACCAGGATAGCATGCACTGGTTGCTGAATACAGATGAATAAAATTTTCTAGAAAACAAAGTACCGTAGGTAGTCCGTAGAACGATTCCCAGTGTGTTGTTGCCGTCGGTAGCAATTGACTCAGTTAAAAATCCTTCTACCTCTTCCATTTCTACGCAGGGAGTACTAAAGTTCAGAAGAACCGTAGATACCACACTGCCTTCGTAAAATTGTATCACTGTAGCGCCGTGGAAAGTCGTGCTCCACCCACTGGGATTTAAGTACTCGGATATCTAAGAAAAATAAAGAAGTTAAACATCATTACCAGATACACAACAACGAAACGTTTTTCATCAGCTCAGTCAATGTAAACTGCCACCTAACGGGTAGTCTTGTAGGAGCCTTATTGTAAACATTTTCGGTAGCAAAGTTATAAAAAGGATACTAAATGATGGAGACTGTTATCTTGCATACTTTTATCATAAAGACTTGATAATGATAGCCATCCATTCCCATTAAAAATGTCGTAATACTTTCCATCTGGATCACATATATATATATATATATATATAAGAATATGCCAAACTTGTAAATTGTGTGTTAATTAAAGTAGTGAACTAGGATGATTATAGATAATATTATCGGTAAAGTACAAGCTGGTTGACCTTTGATGTAAATTACATGGATCATGGGCCGAAAATGAAAGTATGGATCAGTTGATCAGTAAACGAATTATCTGTAATTGATATAAATTGATAGAAAAAGAATGCATGTAAGTTTACTCCCTCACCTTGTCTATCAAAATACTGGAAAGGCCTCTAAACTGGTTGCTAGTGACGACTAACAATTCCGCATCCCATTCCAGGGCCCCAAGGGTGACTTCCAATCCAATTCTCGCTGGGACTGAAACAAAAGACAACAATTTGTCCAAGAATGAAATAAACATCTTAATTAAAAGGTTTTGATGTAGCGATAATGGCAACTAGAAATTATCATCTATCTTCAATGTCTTAAAGAGTTGGTTTTGATGAAGCGATAAGACAAAGTTATAGATGCAGCTGTTATTTTTACCCCGTATGACCTTTGTAATTCTGCAAGGATTTCTAATGATTCGCGTCTTACCTTTTCTTCCCGGCTTTCTTCACAAAAGACAAAACAGAATCATAAGGAGACAAAAATGCCTTAACTGATGGAACACTATATGTTAAACTACAAGTTGTAGGTACAACAACTAACATTTTGCATAGGTTGTCACGTTCAAAAAGTAAGATACTTATAGGTAGTTACTATATAATGCATTTCTTTCCAAAGCTAAAATACAGTGGAAATAAAAATATAATGAATTACCTTCCATCTCCAAAGTCGTAGTAGCCATTGTGGCCTCTGTCAAGGAAGGCGTCAACGTGCTTTGATCTGTTGTTACTGGTAAAGTAGTACCTGTGGTTCTGTGCGCAGTCGAACTTTCCTCTATCGGTGTAAATTTTGTTGTCGATCGGGCTGTAGAATGAACTGTATACAGTCCACTCGTTAAATGCCCTTCCGATGTACTGACAATAGGGCTTGTAGCACTTAGTGTCAAAGGCATTGTGGAAGAAAAATCAGGAGTACTTGTCTGCTTTGAAGTTGTACTAACTGCTGTGGTCTCTCGAAGAGTTGATGTTACAGTGCTTCGATCTGTTGTTGCCGGCACTGTACGAAATGTGGTTCTTTGCAAGGTGCTACCTTGATCTGTTGTTGTAGACTCTGAAGCTGTACTCGATATTACTGGTGTACTTGGACTGCTTGTAGTCGACTCGGCTCCATACGTACTGCCAGTCGAAGATTGCCCTGTAGTTTCAACTATAGTGGAATGACCTTCCGTCGTGGCATAGGTTGTGCTTGTGGCACCTTGTGATGTAGACGTTGCGGAAGACGATGTGCTAGCACTTTCTGGTGTACTTGGACTGCTTGTGGTCCACTTGACTCCATACGTAGTGCCAGTCGAAGATCGCCCTGTAGTTTCGACTATAGTGGAATGACCTTCTGAGGTGGTATATGTTGTGCTTGTGGCACCTTGTGATGTAGAAGTGTCGGACGACGATGTGCTAGCACTTTCTGTTGTTGTACTTGCCACTGTGGTGGTGGTCTCTGCCAGCGTTGACATCAAAGTGCTTTGCTCTGTTTTTACAGGCAAAGTGGGAACTCTGCTTCTTTGCGCAGTTGTACCTAGCTCTACTGGTGTAGATTCCGGATGTGTTGACGATTCGACAGACGTCGCCGAACGTGTTGTCGATTGGACTGTACCTCTTGGGCTGCTGCTTGTCGAGCTTATACCAACAGTTGTGAAAGATGTAGAATGAGCTGTAGACAGCCCACTAGTTGAATGCCCTTCAGATGTGATGACAATTGGGCTTGTAGCACTTGTCGAGCTGACCAAAGCTGTTGTCGAAGCCATTAGGGAAGACGATTCCAGTGTGCTTGTCTGTCCTGCCGTTGTACTAATCACCCTGGTCTCTTTAAGGGTTGATGTTACAGTGCTTCGATCTGTTGTTGCCGGCACTGTACGAAATGTGGTTCTTTGCAAGGTGCTACCTTGATCTGTCGTTGTAGACTCTGAGGCTGTACTCGATATTACTGGTGTACTTGGACTGCTTGTGGTCGACTTGACTCCATACGTAGTGGCAGTCGAAGATTGCCCTGTAGTTTCAGCTATAGTGGAATGACCTTCCGTTGTGGCATAGGTTGTGCTTGTGGCACCATGTGATGTAGACGTTGCGGAAGACGATGTGCTAGCACTTTCCGGTGTACTTGGACTTCTTGTGGTCGGCTTGACTCCATACGTAGTGCCAGTCGAAGATTTCCCTGTAGTTTCAACTATAGTGGAATGACCTTCCGAGGTGGCATAGGTTGTGCTTGTGGCACCTTGCGATGTAGACGTTGTGGAAGATGATGTGCTAGCACTTTCTGGTGTACTTGGACTTCTTGTGGTCGGCTTGACTCCATACGTAGTGCCAGTCGAAGATTGTCCTGTAGTTTCAACTATAGTGGAATGACCTTCCGTCGTGGCATAGGTTGTGCTTGTGGCACCTTGTGATGTAGACGTTGCGGAAGACGATGTGCTAGCACTTTCTGTTGTTGTACCAGCCACTGTGGTGGTGGTCTCTGCCAGCGTTGACGTCAAAGTGCTTTGCTCTGTTGTTACAGGCAAAGTGGGAACTCTACTTCTTTGCGCAGTTGTACTTTGCTCTGTCGACGTAGATTTTGAAATTGTTGTCCATTGGAATGTACTTGTTGAGATGCTACCTTTTGATGTTGGAACGTTTGTGGTTGCGACACTTTCTGTCGAAGACGTAGCTGGAATTGTTAAAAATGTTTAAAATGACCATAGTTTTGTTAATAGCTTGGCTTGTAGTTTTGATGCTAAATACAATGTTGACAAGTATGATAATTTGTGTCTTATGTTCGTAGTATTATGTAAATTTGTTGATCACGCTTTAAGTAGTGATGATATTGTGGTTTTTCAATGGAGTATCTTGAGTATAATTGAAGCTTCACACAAAGTCGACAAAGATCTTACCTTCGCAGGGGCTTGGTACAACTGTATCATTCGTTCTGTAAAGGGATTGATAGGGTATGAGCATTACAATGCGAATACAATTAATAAACATTGTCTTGTTTATTGATGAAAATGAACATGACTGAAAATGAACATGCCTTACCTGCATTTCCTGTCAGAGCCAACCAAGAAGCAAGATGACTCGTTGGAACAGTAATCATTGGAGCAAATCTCTGTTTGGGAGAAAATATCAACAGTGTTTTAGGTTGTAGTTCTCTATGTGGACATACCTGTTAGGAAATCGTACAGAAAGAATCTCAATGTAAACTTTTAGTAAATTAATTTCTCCATGATTGGTTACTATGGTGGAGTAAAATATATATATAATTTGTATGTACCCTAGGTTGTTGTATTACACCAGGATAGCTTGCACTGGTTGCACAATGTAGATTATTTTACATTGCGTATACGAGTGTAAATGTAACAGAAGACAACGTACCATCGGTAGTCCGTAGAACGATTCCTAGCGTGTTGTTGCCGTCGGAAGCAATTGACTCAGTTAAAAAACCTGCTACCTCTTCCATTTCGACGCAGGGGGTAGTAAAGTTGAGAAGAACCGTAGATACGACACTGCCTTCGTAAAAGTTTATCACTTTAGCGCTGTAGAAAGTCGTGTTCCACCGACTGCGAGTAAAGTACTCTGATATCTAAGGAGGATAATAAAGTTAAGCATATTTACCAGATACGCAGCAACTGTACCAAGTATTTAATGTCATTCAAGTCGGAGCAATGTACCTGAGAGTTTATACATTAAGGTACAACTGAGAAAATGAAAGTTTGGATGATCATTTAACGACTTAATCTGCAATCGATATACATTCATAAAAATCAGTTTAAAATTGCTTTGTCACCTTATCAATCAAAATACTGGAAATGCCTCTAAACTGATTGCTAGAGACGACTAACAATTCCGCATCCCATTCCAGGGCCCCAAGAGTGAGTTTTAATCCAATTCTCGCTGGGACTGTGGAAATAAGAGACATCAATATTATCCAATCATATAATAAACATCTTACTTGAAAATGTTTAATGTAGTGACAAAGGATACTAAATATTATTCTTAATCGCCAATATTTCAGTTGGCTTTACTAAAGAAATAAGACGAGGTTATAGAAAAAGCCAAGCTGTCCCGCGGGTATGTTACGCCGTATGACCTTAGCAATGCTACATCGATTTCTAAAGATTTTCGTGGTACGTTTCCTTGCCCGCTTTTTTCAAAGACAAATAAAGAATCTTAAGATGCCACACTATATGTATACCTACAATATATGAGTACAACAACTACCATTTTGCACAGGTTGCCACGTTCCAAAAGAAAGATCATTATAGGTAGTTAGATACAATGCATCACTTTCACACTCCGGGCAGCCATCGCCAGGTACATTACCGACAAATAAATCAACCAACCATTTTAAGATGCCTATACCCTAAGATATAGCGACTTTCAAACCTAAGAAAAACTGGAAAAGGAAAAATCAATTACCTTTCATCTCCAATGTCCCACTAGCTACTGTGATCTCTGTCGATGAATGCGACAAAGTGCTTTCCTCTGTTGTAATTGGCAAAGCAGGACCTGTGGTTCTGTACGCAATCGAACTTTGCTCTATCGATGTATATTCCGAAAGTGTTGTCGATTGGGCTGTAGAAGAACGTGTAGACAGTCCACCTGATGAATAACTTTCCGATGTCCTGACAATTGGGCTTGTAGCACTAACAGTCAAAGACATGGTGGAAGACATTTCGGGTGTGCTTGTCTGTCCTGCGGTTATACTAATCACTGTGGTATCTTCAAGAGTTGACGTTACAGTGCTTCGATCTGTTGTTGCCAGCACTGTATGAAACGTGGTTCTTTGCAAGGTGCTACCTTGATCTGTCGTTGTAGACTCTGAGGCTGTAATCAATATTACTGGTGTACTTTGACTGCCTGTGGTCGACTTGACTCCATACGTAGTGCCAGTCGAAGATTGCCCGGTAGTTTCAACTACAGTCGAATGACCTTCCGTCGTGGCATAGGTTGTGCTTGTGACACCTTGTGATGTAGACGTTGAGAAAGACGATGTGCTACCACTTTCTGTTGTTGTACCAGCCACTTCCGTGGTGGTGTCTGCTAACGTTGACGTCAAAGTGCTTCGCTCTGTTGTTACAGGCAAAGTGGGAACTCTGCTTCTTGGCGCAGTCGTACTTAGCTCTACTGGTGTAGATTCCGGATGTGTTGACGTTGCCGAAAGTGTTGTCGACTGCACTGTACTTCTTAGGTTGCTGCTTGTCGAGCCTATCCCAACAGTTGTGAAAGATGTAGAATGAGCTGTAGACAGCCCACTAGTTGAATGCCCTTCAGATGTGCTGACAATTGGGCTTGTAGCACTTGTCGAGCTGACCCCAGCAGTTGTCGAAGTCAGGAGGGAGGACGATTCCGGTGTGCTTGCCTGTCCTGCAGTTGTACTAATCACTGTGGTCTCCTCAAGAGTTGATGTTACAGTGCTTCGATCTGTTGTTGCCGGCACTGTACGAAACGTGGTTCTTTGCAAGGTGCTACCTTGATCTGTCGTTGTAGACTCTGAGGCTGTACTCGATATTACTGGTGTACTTTGACTGGTTGTGGTCGACTTCACTCCATACGTAGTGCCAGTCGAAGATTGCCCTGTACTTTCAACTACAGTCGAATGACCTTCCGTCGTGGCATAGGTTGTGCTTGTGACACCTTGTGATGTAGACGTTGAGAAAGACGATATGCTACCACTTTCTGTTGTTGTACCAGCCACTTCGGTGGTGGTCTCTGCCAACGTTGACGTCAAAGTGCTTAGCTCTGTTGTTACAGGCAAAGTGGGAACTCTTCTTGGCGCAGTCGTACTTCGCTCTTCTGGTGTAGATTCCGGATGTGTTGACGATTCGACTGACGTAGCCGAAAGTGTTGTCGACTGGACTGTACTTCTTGCGTTGCTGCTTGTCGAGCCTATCCCAACAGTTGTGAAAGATGTAGAATGAGCTGTAGACAGCCCACTAGTTGAATGTCCCTCAGATGTGCTGACAAATGGGCTTGTAGCACTTGTCGAGCTGACCCCAGCAGTTGTCGAAGTCAAGAGGGAGGACGATTCCGGTGTGCTTGCCTGTCCTGCAGTTGTACTAATCAGTGTGGTCTTTTCAAGAGTTGATGTTACAGTGCTTCGATCTGTTGTTGCGGGCACTGTACGAAACGTGGTTCTTTGCAAGGTGCTACCTTGATCTGTCGTTGTAGACTCTGAGCCTGTACTCGATATTACTGGTGTACTTTGACTGCTTGTGGTCGACTTGACTCCATACGTAGTGCCAGTCGAAGATTGCCCTGTACTTTCAACTACAGTCGAATGACCTTCAGTCGTGGCATAGGTTGTGCTTGTGGCACCTTGTGATGTAGACGTTGAGAAAGACGATGTGCTACCACTTTCTGTTGTTGTACTAGCCACTCTGGTGGTAGTCTCCGCCAACGTTGACGTCAAAGTGCTTTGCTCTGTTGTTACAGGCAAAGTGGGAACTCTGCTTCTATGCGCAGTCGTACCTAGTTCTACCGGTGTAGATTCCGGATGTGTTGTCGAATCGACTGACGTAGCCGAAAGTGTTGTTGATTGGACTGTACTTCTTGGGCTGCTGCTTGTCGAGCTTATCCCAACAGTTGTGAAAGTTGTAGAATGAGCTGTAGACAGTCCACCAGCTGAATGTCCTTCAGATGTGCTGACAAATGGGCTTGTAGCACTTGTCGAGCTGACCCCAGCAGTTGTCGAAGTCAAGAGGGAGGACGATTCCGGTGTGCTTGCCTGTCCTGCAGTTGTACTAATCACTGTGGTCTCCTCAAGAGTTGATGTTACAGTGCTTCGATCTGTTGTTGCGGGCACTGTACGAAACGTGGTTCTTTGCAAGGTACTACCTTGATCTGTCGTTGTAGACTCTGAGGCTGTACTCGATATTACTGGTGTACTTTGACTGCTTGTGGTCGACTTGACACCATACGTAGTGCCAGTCGAAGATTGCCCGGTAGTTTCAACTACAGTCGAATGACCTTCCGTCATGGCATAGGTTGTGCTTGTGACACCTTGTGATGTAGACGTTGAGAAAGACGATGTGCTACCACTTTCTGTTGTTGTACTAGCCACTTCGGTGGTGGTCTCTGCCAACGTTGACGTCAAAGTGCTTTGATCTGTTGTTACAGGCAAAGTGGGAACTCTGCTTCTTGGTGCAGTCGTACTTAGCTCTACCGGTGTAGATTCCGGATGTGTTGACGATTTCACTGACGTTGCCGACAGAGTTGTCGATTGGACAGTACTTCTTGCCTTGCTGCTTGTCGAGCTTATCCCAACAGTTGTGAAAGATGTAGAATGAGCTGTAGACAGCCCACTAGTTGAATGTCCCTCAGATGTACTGGCAATTGGGCTTGTAGCACTTGTCGAGCTGACCCCAGCAGTTGTCGAAGTCAAGAGGGAGGACGATTCCGGTGTGCTTGTCTGTCCTGCAGTTGTACTAATCACTGTGGTCTCTTCAAGAGTTGATGTTACAGTGCTTCGATCTGTTGTTGCCGGCACTGTACGAAACGTGGTTCTTTGCAAGGTGCTACCTTGTTCTGTCGTTGTAGACTCTGAAGCTGTACTCGATATTACTGGTGTACTTGGACTGCTTGTGGTTGACTTGACTCCATACGTAGTGCCAGTCGAAGATTGCCCGGTAGTTTCAACTACAGTCGAATGACCTTCCGTCGTGGCAACGACTGTGCTTGTGGCACCTTGTGCTGTAGACGCGCCGGAAGATGATGTGCTAGCACTTTCTGTTGTTGTGCCAGCCACTGTGGTGGTGGTCTCTGCCAGCGTTGACGTCAAAGTGCTTTGCTCTGTTGTTACAGGCAAAGTGGGAACTCTGCTTCTTGGCGCAGTCGTACTTAGCTCTACCGGTGTAGATTCCGGATGTGTTGACGATTTCACTGACGTTGCCGACAGAGTTGTCGATTGGACAGTACTTCTTGCCTTGCTGCTTGTCGAGCTTATTCCAACAGTTGTGAAAGATGTAGAATGAGCTGTAGAGAGCCCACCAGTTGAATGTCCTTCAGATGTACTGGCAATTGGGCTTGTATCACTTGTCGAGCTGACCCCAGCAGTTGTCGAAGTCAGGAGGGAGGACGATTCCG